GTCCGCGCCGCGCCGCCCCCCGCCCCCCCTCTTCCAGTGGCCTCAGCGGCTCCCGTCCCCCCTCTTCCAGTGGCCTCAGCGGCTCCCGTCCCCCCTCTTCCAGTGGCCTCAGCGGCTCTCGATCCCCCTCGTCCCCCAGGCTGTCCTCTTCCAGGTTCGCCCGAGTTTCCTCGTCTGCCGCTGCTGGAGGCCTCGCGCTTTCTCGGTCGCTCTCCTCCGAAGATCCGCGTGATCCTTGGTTCTCTTCCAGGGGCCCCCCTGACTCTCGGTTCTCTTCCCCAGGCCCCCCTGGTTCCTGAACTTCCGCTTCTAGAGGCTTCGTTGTCTCCCGATGCATTTCCTCCGGAGGCCGCGACAGCTCTTGTGCTCCCGTAGACGTCGCTGTTTGCGGGTCCCCGGCAGACCTCATGGGTTCTAGGTTCTCCGTTTCTAAACATCTCGCCACCTCTCCTCTCTCTCCTTCCAGGGGCCTTAATAACTCTCCATCCTCTTTTTCGAGAGGTCTAACTACCTCCTGGTCTTTTCCAAGAGACCCCAGGGGCTCGGGCTCCCCCTTTTCCCAAGGTCCCAGTGTCGTCGGGTCTTCCCCCAGAGGCCTCGGCGGCCCCGGGTGCTCTTTGTCTCGAGCTGTCAATGCCTCGAAGCTCTCCTCGGCCGGGGACCTCACCGACACTTGATTTTCCTCTCCTGGATATAAAAATGTCTCCAGACCATCTTCACGAGATCTCGTAAGTCCTTGCTTCTCCTCCTCTAGAGGCCGCCGTGTGTGGGGGGCCTCTGTCCCCATCGGCTGGAGTCCTGGAGCCCCTTCTCGCAGAGTGCTCTCCCCCTCCACGTCTTTTTCCTCCAAAGACGCCTCTAGCTCTCGACTCTCCTTTTCCAGACCCTGGAGTGCTTCCCCGCTCTCGTCTAAAGACCTCGGAGATCCCTGACTCTCCTCCGCTCGAGCTCTCGGCGTCTCGCGGTTCTGCTTCTCCAGAGACGTCAGTGACGCTTGGACATCCTCTTCCAGAGACTTCGGAGCTTCGTTCTCCGGACTCCAGGCGTCCGCGATTTCCTCCCTGTTCAGGTCCCCCTCTTCCTGCCGTGTGTCCTGCTGCGAACTGCTCACCATTCCGACCTCTGTGGCTGTTTCCTTCTCTGCCGGCTCCCCGACGTGTCCTTCACATTCCCCCCGGAATCTGCTGGACGCTCCAGACTCCCCTGGTTCTCCACCTTCGGCCTCTAAACTGGGGTGCTCGGGGCTGAGGGGTGGGGCTGAGGAGGCTTGATCCTCAGGGCACTGGCCTCTACCAGCTTCTTGCTGCTTGCCCCCAGGTTCCTCTGGGGCCAGCAGGAGGCTGGCAGGGATGGCCTCGCTGGCTTCGCCCCACGTGGCCTGTGGAAGCTGCTGCCTCTCACCCTGTGGCTGGAGCACGGAGGGAGTGGCCTCCTGGGCTCTGACCGCCCCATCCGTAGCGGGGCAGGGAGCCTGAGGTGCGGGTAGGATGGGGGTGCTGGCCAAGGTCGGGGTACTGGCCTGGAGGAATTCCTGCCTCTTCAGAAAGGTAGGAACTGGCGTCTCAAGGGTATCAGGTAAGGGCGAGGAGAGAGGTGTAGGGCTCAAGACAGAGAGCAAAGGTCCCAGACGTCGGCCCTCTGGGGTCCCAGGGAAGTGCAGCTCCAGCTTGGGGTCTGGAAAGGCAGAGGAGAAAAAACTGGCACTAGGTACTGGCGGGGGGGCCAGGGCCACAGAGCAGCGACCACTTCCGGCAAGAGCCGTGGGCCCTGCCCTGCCCCCGACCTGAGCTGTCGGGCCAAGGGGTCAAGACTTAGACTGGAGAGCAAGGGAAGGCAGCATTCTGGGGAGGGGGCCTGGCCCAGCTCTTACCCTGGAAGCCAAAGGAAGCCTTGGGACCCCCGCCAGGTGTCCGCAGCCGGGAGTTTTCAGCCTCTAGAAGGGTCCTGGGGACAGGGAGGGAGAGCTGGGTCAGCCCTCTGCCTGCAGGCAGGTCTACTGGGGAATACAGGGCAGTGCAGGCTTCCGGTCCACTGTCACCCAGAGCCACACACGCGGGTACAGCTGGCTGTGTGCGTGGAATCACGTGGCCACGTACCCAGACATCACACGCTGGGTCACGCAGTGGCACACACATGCTCGGGACTCGCAGCTGGGCTCACAGACACACAGGCGGGCTCCCACACAGCAGACTCAGTGTCCACATGCCCACTTTGCTCAGACTGCTCTCCCCCTCCCTGCCCCAGGCCCATGACCTCATCCTCTGTGGGGGGCCATTCTCATGCTAATTGCCGCCATTGTCCACAGGCCATCTGGAGGTTGGAGGAGGGGGCTTCCCAGGGGAAGTGGGACTTCTCAAGCTGTTCCCATGGGACAGGCTCCCCCCTTCTCCCCCGGGGCCCCCAGAGCTAGTTGCAGACAAAAGCAAAAGAATCCAGCCCCCTCTGCCCAAATCCTTTCAAGCCTGGAAACCCAGGGCCCAGCTGGTTGGGATCGAGCCCCTCATCTGGATCCCAAGCACTTCGGTGCAGTGGAGGCCTTTGTGTCCATGCCCCTGCCTCCGTGCCCCGTGGGGACAGAGGAGGAAAGGACCAGCAGGGGGAGGAGGACCAGGTCCCACTGAGCATCAGCTCTCAGCTCCTCCTCCCGGCCTCCAGGTCTGGACAGTGTCCTCTGCTCCAATCTGCGTCCTGTCCCCAGGCAGCGAGTGTCCTTCATTCCTGGGCCCTCACCTACCTTCCTCCTCTCTCCTCTGGAACCTGTCCCGGGCCCCCCCACCTTGGTTTGCCTGTGGACTCTGGGGGTGCTGTCCTCATAGCCCAGCCACCCCTCGCCCCCCGCGCCCCCCACGGGCTTGGTGTTCTCGGCCCTTCATGGTGGCAAAGCCCTTCCTCAGGCTCCATCACTGGACCCTCGGCCAACCGGGCCGAGTCCCAGGAGAGGCTGCGAGTTGGCCCAGGGCCTCGCGGCCAGAGAAGCAGCACCTCCTCAGTCCTGGCCTTCCCTGAGCCGTCAGGGGCTGTGACCAGGAGACGGGGGGCGGGGCCAAGAGGCTAGGGCTTGAGAGGGGTCAGGCCCCAAAACGTGCAGGACAGAAGGGGCCTTGGGTGTCCCCCAGCCCGCCTTCCATCCTCTGGACAAGGAGACTTGTCAGCGTGAGCCAGCACCCCCTCCCCGTACCTGCGGCTCCTCCTTTCTGAGGCTGCCCAAGGACGTCACCCCTCGGTGACACACAGTCCCTGGGGTAGGGTCTGGGTGCAGAAGCCTCACATGTGTCCAGCCTGTCTCCTCACCTCCCCCTGGGGATTCCCTGGGCACAGGACACTTCTCTCATCCTGGCCCCACAGGGGAGCAGGCGGGCTCAAGGGGGACACGTCCTGGTGTGGACCGGATCGGCCTAGACAGAGTCACAGAACCTAGTGGTGGCAGAGCCACCACTGCCTGTGACTCCGGGCCCCTTCGGCCGAGGAGCCTCTGACACTGCACGAATGTGTGTGTCTGCGTGCACAGGTGGGTTGGGCCAACCTGTACCTGTATGTGGCCACCTCCAGGCTCAGGGACATCTTCAGGTGTGCCAGCTGCTGCCGACCTTCCAGGACCTGGGCGATCTGAGTCTGGAGGCCCCGCTTCTCCTCCTCCAGGGCCTCCACGGCCAGCTGCAGGGCAAGTGGGAGGTGATCAGTAAGGGCCAGGGAGCCGCCCGCCGGCCAGCCCGCGTGCCCTGGCTGCCGACGGAGCACCTTCTGCTCCTGCCCGTGGAGCGGGCTCCTGCCTCCCCGCCCAGAGAACCGCTCCGGAGCCTTGGAGAAGGGACCCTCTCAGCCTTGGCGCGGCCAGGCTCCTCCTCTGAGGGTGCTGGTTCAGTGGCTGCACGTGCAGCTCGCATTGAGCTCCCACAGGAAGGGCGCCGTGAGGGAGGAGGGCAGAGGGGTTACAGGCAGGAGAGGGGGAAAGTGGAAGCAGAAGGAAAAACGATTACTCAAGAGGCCTGGAAAGCAGGACGGGAGGCCCAACTGCCCCCAACCCGGTCACCGTCTCCTGCGGCTCACGCCAGGCCCCGCCCCCTCCACCTCCCACGTGTTCTGGAATCTGTCTCCTCTCAAGGAGGGCTGGGTGGGGAGGTGGCCATGGCCAGACCTCCCTCAGGCCCAGGCAGGGGGCTGTTTTCTCAGCTGTTGGTCCCATCTGTGCAGTGCCACGGGGGAGCAGCTGTCCCAGGCTTCTGGAATGTGCTCAGGGAGTGGAGAAGCCTGATACGGGACAAGGGCAGGCGGCCCCCGGTCCAGGGCCCCTCGCCCCCACCAGTGGGGGAGGGGAGGCGGTTAGAAACAGGAGGTTCTGCGTAGCAGGACCATGAGACTCGGCGCTGAGGGGGCAAGTCCTGGGCACTTTGTGGGTGACGGCAGAACCTATAGGGGTCCATCTAGACAGTGGGAGGCTGCTACACAGGACTTGGGCCTGTCCGCCCTCCCCGGGCGTGTGAGAAGCCTCTGAAGCCCTCATCCCCCTACTCCAGAGGGAGCTGTGACAGTCTAGGGCCTCTGCCCCAACCGTGGGTTTTCCTAGACGTGGTGCCTGAATGGGCGCCATGCGCACCCGCACCCCCAGTCCCTCCCCCAGAAGGTCTCTGAGCCCCGTAGGGACTTTTCGAAGCCTCGTCTCGCCCAGGGCCCCCATCCCCTCACCTGGAACTTCTCAGTGGCCTGCAGCCGCTCCTGCCAGCAGCCCTCCAGCCTCTGTTCCAGGGCCGCCCTGCGCTCCTGGAGGCCGCCGCGCTCGGCCTGCAGCTGCTGCAGCTCCAGGCGCCCCTCGCGGGCGCCCTGCACCGCGCGA